GACTCAATGAATCTCCCTTGAAAATGCCATTAGCGATTTGTATATCTTCTGTGACTATTGTCTTATTGCCGTCATTAAGGTCTAGTTTAGTTTTCCAATTTCCCATAACTCTTTCCAGGAAATAAATAATGTTGATTTTATAAATTTTCAAAACTCGTATCAGCCAGGCGTGAGGTACACTATTATTAATTATTTTATTATTTATTATTTTTTATAATCAATATATGTTAGGTTAAGATTATTGTAGTGAGAAGTAGCCTAGTTTATCACCATCAATTCGACAATGAGTTATTCTTTGTATCCTCTGTAATTATGTCTGCATCCTTTTTGTTCCTCCGCTGTGTTATGTGTTAAATGCGTATTAATGTTTAGTGTTTTACGAAAGGTAGTTTGTATATAGTTGAAAGACACGTAATCGGTATGTACTGTGAGAGAACTGCTGTTTTATTACTTTTGCGAATAATGAAAGTATTACCTACGGTTGCAGAAGATAGAATCTCTGATGCGCCTTTTAATAAATCTGTAATAGTTTTTGCTAAAATATCGTGGAGTGCCAAGAACTTTTTATACTAAAAGTTGTGAATACATTATCGGTTACAGGTCATTCTAGTCTTTCATTATTTTTTTGGTAAGATGTTCAATCTCTTATTTAGTAACTTATGTGAATTCCATTAATTAAATAGCTTCTGCTTTATTGTCTTTTACTTTGCTCCAACTTGCAAGTTTATTATTTTCTTTATCTATCTTCCATATGTCAGTCAATTAGTTTTCGAGTTCTTCTTCAGTTGGTACTTCCTTGGGTTAATTGAATATGTTACTTATATTATGTTTGAGCGACATATAAAATCATTTTTCATTAGTCTTAAATAGCTTTTTTATTCTTTACTTTGTAGGGGTTTTTTTTTGTATCCATCTAGTCTTTTGGTTTTAAGTGCAAGTTTTTTTGTTTTAGAGTATCTAAATATTTAGCTAGTCTAATATTATTTTTATCATAAGGTGAATGAACTTTATATTTTTCAACTGGGATATACTAAATATGCTTAGTGGTCGATTCTATAAGTCAGTAGATGAAGCTGTAAACAAAGTATTCAAGAAAAATAATCTAACCTTAAAGAATATAGCCAAAAATTTTGCTAAGGAATTCTGCGAAAACGTCAAGAAAATTTTTACTAGGTGCAGCAAAAAACTTATATCAGAATCGGAATACATATTTCCTGAAAACAAATCTATGTTATTTAAAAAAAACTACTAAGCGCGATATATTAACTATTATAAAAAGTTAAAATGCAAATAAATCGACTGGTAATGATGGAATCGGATGTTTTAGTGTTAAGATACTGAGTGATAATATTGCTAATATTGCTGATAAACACTAGCATAACAGAAGGAAAATATCCACTAGAATTGAAAACCGGCATCGTAAGACCAATTTATTAAAAGAGATCACATATAGTGATCATGATAGCTATAGGCCTATAATAATACTGTCAGTCATAGATAAGGTATTTGAAAAATATGTGGCTCAACAAATTCTCAATTTTTATACTAGAAACAATATATTATCAAATGTTCAATATGGTTTTTAATCTAAGAAATCCACTACTATATTGCTGTCTAAATTCATGGACGAAATAAACCAACACCTGAATGATAAAAAACAATGTCATATTATTGTTCATCGACTTTAGTAAGGCATTTGATACTTTTAGACACGATATTCTAATAAAAAAACCATTATTGCAATGATGCCAAGATTTTCTCAACGATAGAAAATACCGAGTTAAGATCGGCAATGATTTCAGTGACGAAATATTTGTAACTACTGGAACAGCACAAGGCTCCATGCTCGGATCCTTGCATTATCTAGCGTACGTGAATGATATGGAAAACCTAATAAAACATTGTTCCATTTACCAATACGCGGACGATACATGTCTTATAGCAGTCAATAAAGGTTTAGCTAAGGCTGAACACTTAGATTCGATCGATTTCGATTCGATCGATTTCAATAACTTATGTAAATGGTCTCATGATGTTGGTTTAGTACTGGATGCCAGTAAAACTAAAATTATTCATATTCGATCTAACTACCTAGGCAATTTTCATGAGAAAATCGAAGTAATTGCGCATAGTCACCAGTGCTTGCATGATGTTTAAACAAATAGGACCGGATGCAAATGTGAGTTGTTAGAGCAGGTTCCCCGTTACAAATACTTAAGACTAGTAGTCGACAACAGATTTAACTGGGGTTATCACATTGACAAAATATGTGAAAAACTAAAAGCAATTAACTAAAAGCCAAATTTGGTATCTTGAAATACAAAGTACCATTTAAAATATTACTAAATTTATATAATGCACTCGCAGAGTCAATCATTTCATATGGGATCACTAGGTATGGTGGGACGTTTAAAACATATTTGGACAAAATATACAACTTCTTAAAACTTCGGCTTTTAAAAATAACAATACCAGATAATATTAAAAATCAATCTGCTTCGGAGATGATCTATTAGATTTATTTAAATATTATGAAATCTTGCCTGTTCATATTAAAATAAGAATGTGGCTATTAATTGAACAATTTACCAACAAAGAAATACAAATAAATATGAATCATAAAACAACGACATGGAAGTAACTCAATCAAAACTAGAACTACCAAAAATTAGAAATTATTACGGAAAACGAATATTTGTATTTATTAATGTATTTATTACCAACCCTCATTAATGATACATCTACTAAAATCCGATTAGGAATAACGGACAAAAACTATAAAAATAAATATAAGCAATACTTTAATTCTTTACTTTAATAACAATTAGTGTAAATTTTAATGAAATCAAACCTAACGTAATATCATATCAATAATCAAAACATTCAGTCTATAACACACTCAAGTAGCATCACCCAGCCGGCCGCCTGTTGTTGTGCCGAGCTGCTTATCTATAATCGGTTCCTTTATGTCCACTTTTATGTAAACAATGTACCCATACTTCATGCTGTTAATACCTTATTTGATGTTCTTATTAAATAATAATATCTATAATGTCAACAGATTGCTCAAAAGTATCTCAACATCTAGACAAACCCGTAAGTAAGGGTTTTGTGATGTTTATATTGTGATTATCTGTATTTTTTCTTTTATTAAATGAATTTAACAAAAAAAAACTACCCCACATATTGGTCACCTCGTGCGCTAAGTCCACATATTTTGTTTGCTTATCTGTTTCGGCTTTCACGATGTTCTCGTCATACGGAATGGTAATGTTGACCAAAAATATCCATGACTGTGCCCGGTCCTTCATCACAATATCAAGCTTATTTGCAAGAATAATCCTGTCTGTGTTGATGAACCGGTCGCAGTAAAGCCTAGCGCCGTCACTTTCAGGCACGGCTTCCGGCAAGTACTTGTTATACGACAATTTCCTGTCCACGAAACCGTATTTCAGAGCGAGCTCCTGGTGTAGAATTCTGGCTACTAGGTTGTGCCTGTGTAAGTACTTAGAGTTAGAAAGCGTCAAACAACCGGAGATGACATGCTTAAGTGGCTCACCGGGATGACAAAGAGCTCAACGTACGTCGACGCTGTCATCCTTTAGGATGTATCTCCGATAGTCAGATTCGACAAAACCCTTGGTTTCCCTGAAGAGGTCACCGAAACGTAGCCATTTGAGGGAGGCAACTGTATCTACGAAGGGCTCTTATAGAGCCCTATACCTCCCGTGGAACTCCTTCTCCTTCCATACAGTCTCCCGGTCGGAAACGCTATGTACTGCTGGATCCTGCCATTACTCGTTGGCTAAGGATATAGGGGTAAGCCTTTTATCACTAGAAATGACGTCATTATGGAACGGATCATCCGATCTCGCCTGCAAGTAATGACGGAGGCTGTATGCTTCACAGTTATGCATGGTCAGCGCGTTCAGCAAGACACGCACCATGCTTTCACGGCAAGTACAGCCATCTTACCGACGATCTCGGATGACGCATCCTATGGGATATCATCCGATCAAAAAACGTCGCAAACTAACTGCTTCACACCAGCGTCATCGATACCGAGGTTCTGTAACATACCCAGGTATTGGTATGTTTCATCCTCGAAAAGGGTCCTTTAGTTGACGGGTATAGATAAGTCTATGCCCTCAGAGTTAGCTACCCTTCTCTTTTAAACATGGAGGATCGCATACTTATCAGTCCCCAGATCCATTCCAATAGAATTGCTAAATTCACAAGTGATGTTAAGCAATCTATAAGATGGGAGCGACTGTTGGTGGATAACTTGAGGTCAACCATATAGAAAAAGTGGGTCACTTTTGTACCTCCCTTCCGTAGCTGAAATCCCCTCCCGGAGTCCTCCAGTAAGGTACTGAGAGAGTTAAGAGAGAGGCAGAACCAGATTGGACTCAGACAGTCCCTCTAGAAGATACCCCTTCTTATGCGGCTTTCCGCAGCCGTCATTCGCTCACCCAGATGGCAAAGGCTCGTACTCCACTACCCCATACTCTGCTCATGGAAGTCTCTAACTATACAGGCAATCTTGTACAGCTCGAGGACCGAAGACTCTTTAGCAATATATGGGGCACCGAGTCGAATGCCCTTCTGTAGTCTATCCAGGCGGCGGGTAAGTTCCGACGGTTGCGTTTCACCACTTTGCCAATGACCGCATCAATGAGGAATTTTTTCTCGGTTCCACCACCCCGACATCCACTTTGAGCGTGTGACATCACCTGGTTTAGCTCCAGGTGACTAGTGATTCTCGCGCTCAAAATGGATATCAGTGTCTTATATATGGTTTACAGACACGTGATGGGGCGGTATTTGCTCGGGTCTGTGGTATCCCGATCTTTAGGAACCAAGTGAGTGATCCCAGTAGTGAAGAGGCTCGGGAGCGACTTCTGATCAAGAGCCTCTTGAAACTGTCGCGTGACTACAGCGTAACCCACTACGAACCCCTTCAGCCAGTAATTATCCAGCCCATCGAGCCCCGGACTTTTCTAGTTCGGGGCCCTATAAACTGCCTCAGCTACGTCTTCCAACGTTATAGTGACGGGGTCCATAGGCGTAACACTCCCACTCTGGCTTGCCACAACTTCCATCCAAGGGCCCTCGCTGTGGTTTACGGGCTCTGACCACAAGCCTCGCCAAAATGTGACAGTGTCAGCCTGATCCGGTCTTGAGCCCGTTTTACATACCTCTGGTCGCTCCAATGATTTATAGAGCCCCTTCTCATCACTCTGGAAGAGACGATTCTGGTTGAACCACCTTGACCTCTCGCTAAATCGTCGAATCCGCTTCCCCCAAGTAGCGATTTTTTGCTTCAGGTCATCTACGCGCTCCGTTATTATCTGCGTGATATCCGGCTGGGACAAACTAATTTTTGTCCCAACAAACGCCATGGCTGGGATGGCGCTACTTTGTCGAGTAGCACGTCCAGCCATGGGAAGTTTGGCGCCAATAATACGGCATACTGCCAGTGCGGCTCCAAAAAGAATTGAGTACGTCTCGCAAAGGTCCCGGCTGGCTTTCAAATAGGTCACCAGCATTGGGTTAAAAGTTATGCGGGGAAGTCGCGGTCAATTTTCTAGAGGTCTACTGCGGGTTTCCAGCATTGACTCTTTCAATATGCTCCTCATGTTCTCTAGTTCGCGGGAGACTATTCCATCATCGTCTGAATCAACCACAAATGGAATATCCACGGCAGCATCCATATATGCACTTTGCTGCGCAATTAGTGGCGCCGCATTCCTAGTTGATGAGGGAACAGCCTCACGTCGTCGTCGTTCGAGTTCGGCGTCACCAAATATGTTGGAGCGCAGAATGTACCGAACTCAGTCTGCCAGTTTTTGCGCAGTGACGGATAGAGATGGCTCCAGCTCTGCAAAAAGCGATTCTTCCGAAGATTTTTTGAAGATTGCGAAGCTATTGCATAGCATTTTTTATCAACTTATGCAATTATAATTATTTATTTATTTTATTTATGCAGTTAAGTCTTTGATATTAAATCAAGTTACACTTTTTGATCGTGGTGACCGATAAGAAAACAATTTTTTTCTCTTATTGAATAAATGAGAAGTTAATATTGTTTAAAATATTTTTAATATCTTACAATACATGTAGGTTATTCAGGAATTTTTATCATTGAGTTAGCAGCTAGTGTACACGCATACGTCTAGTCGCACGCACACAAACACCGTGCCGAAGTCTGCCGAGTGCCGAACTCTGCCGAACTGAAAAGACGTTAGACGATGCACGGCTTTCAACGCCACACCTCCGTGCCCGTCGGAGTGGGGAGCGTGAGGTTTTTTTTTCGTTACGGAATTTCTGGATTCGGTCCCCGCGCTCAAGGCCCGCGATAGAAGCTATGCAATAGCTTAAAAATATATCGCCTGGAGTTACTGTGACCGACGCTAGGTGGTTAAAGGTTAAGGATACTTAGATTACATAAATAATAATTTTTCCATTTTATGATAGTTTTTTAAGTTTGAACTGTTTTTGTGTATATAAGGTAATGTAACATAAAATATTATATAGATGCGTAGATATTAGGTAAGAACTGTAAATTTTTTAAAGAAATTAGTTCACGTTTAATGTTTGACATTATGTAGAACTACTTAAACTTACTTAACGTATAACAATGTCTGGTCCGCTTACAAGCGTAATATGGTAATATTTTGAGAAGTTAATTGTAATAAATTAAAACTGTATTCTTTGGAGTAAACAAGTATAATAATAATTTGTTATAGCGCCATCTACTGCATTTTATGCGTAAAATGATTCGATCGAAAAAATATTGATTAACTCTCAAGGTAGTACGCATAAAATATGCTAGACGGCATAAACAGGAAACGATTTAATTTAATGTTCTATTTCATTTTCTCGCAAGCTAAATTCTATTGATATATACTTAAGGCTTACTGCAAAACCTTTTACACCTGCAGCCTGTGGTATAGCTATACGCAAAGGGCCAATAATGCACTTCGCGTCCAATATACCTCCCCGTGTTCTGCAGTGCATCTGGCATGGTTGCTGAAGCGGCTGTTGACGATTTTCATGGCATCATACGGAAGCGAATATCGTCCAGCTGGCGCAGATTGCGGGGGAGCTCAAACGGCGTCCTGAAGGTAGTTAAAGATAGGCTTGATTGTCCCATTCAAGGGCATTGGACTCAAATGCATATGGGTGGGACACTTAAGTATCTTAATTAATATTTTTAAAATTGTAAGTTATTTAATTTGATTTAATTTAATTTACTAACATAGCTTGTAAGAAATTTACTAACAAATTTGTATGGATTTTTTAATCTGAAATAAACGTTTTATTATTATTATTATTATACTTATATATCACTTCTTATATTATGAAATTTTGAGGATACTTAGATTACATAAACAATTATTTTTTCGTTTTATGACAGGTTTTTAGGTTTGAACTGTTTTTGTGTATAAAAAGTAATGTAACAAAAAATATTATATAGATGCGTAGATATTAGGTAGATACTGTACATTTTTTAAAGAAATTAATTCAAATTTAGTGTTTGACCTTGTGTAGAACTAATTAAACCTATTAAGTATAACAATGTCTCGTCCGATTACAAGCATAATATGGGACTATTTTGCGAAGTTAAGTGCATATATAGTTTTATATGTGGTAGAGCCATGCTCCAGTTATATTAGTAGTATAGTCGTAGCGCTAATGGGCTATTGATATATACTTGTATGTAACTTGTTATGTTATCGGATTTTAAGGATGGCATAATACACATTTATAGATATAGGCATTTATATCCTATTGATATAGACTTATATGTCACTTCTTATATTATGAGATTTTATGGATACTTAGTTTACATAAATATAATTTTATTAGTTTTATGATAGTTTTTTAGGTTTTAACTGTTTTTGTGTATAAAAAGTAATGTAACATAAAATATTATATAGATGCTTAGATATTAGGTAGGTACTGTACATTTTTAAAGAAATTAGTTCAAATTTAGTGTTGGACATTGTGTAGAACTTGTCTTGTCCGCTTACAAGCATAATATGAGAGTATTTTGAGAATTTAAGCGTAATAAATTAAAACTGTATTCTTTGGAGTACACAAGTAAAATAATAATTTGTTGTATCGCCATCTACTGAATTTTTTACGTAAAATGATTTTATCGAACAAACATTGATTAACTTTCAAGGTGGTATGCTAAAAATACGCTAGATGGCGTAAACACGACATGATTTCATTTTCTCGCTGGCTAAATCCAATTGATATATAATTATATAACTTGTTGTACATTTTTTAAAGAAATTAGTTCACGTTTAATGTTTGACATTATGTAGAACTAATTAAACTTATTAAGTATAACAATGTCTCGTCCACTTACAAGCAAAATATGAGACTATTTTGAGTAGTTAAGTGTATAAAGTTTATACATGGTAGATCCATGCTGCAGTTATATTAGTAGTATAGTTGTAGCAATAATGGGCAGGCTCGACCGAGGAAGGAACACGCTCTCACAGAATACCAGTGTGAAATAGTGTCTTAATGCTGCTGTGTTTCGTATGGTGAGTTTAGAGAACCGAAGACCCTTTTTACTGGAAATGAGGCATTCCATCTTAGTCCTCACGGGTGACAACGCATCTGCATTTTTATTTATAATCGAGGATAGATGTAGATGTCTATGGGCTGCAGCAACCACTTACCATCGGGTGGACTGTGTGCTCGTTTGCCAATCTATCCAATAAAAAAAATTAAAACTGCATTCTTTGGACTAAACAGGATACTTAGATTACATAAATAATTATTGAATAAATGAAAAGTTAATATTGTTTAAAATATTTTTAATATCTTACAATACATGTAGGTTATTCAGGAATTTTTATCATTGAGTTAGCAGCTAGTGTACACGCATACGTCTAGTCGCACGCACACAAACACCGTGTCGAAGTCTGCCGAACTGAAACGACGTTAGACGATGCACGGCCTTCAAGCCACACCTCCGTGCCCGTCGGAGTGGGGAGCGTGAGGTTTTTTCGTTACGGCGGAACAAATTTCTGGATTCGGTCCCCGCGCTCAAGGCCCGCGATAGAAGCTATGCAATAGCTTAAAATACATAAATAAATAAGATACAACCAGATGGAAGCCTTCGGCAGGGGAGACCAAACCGCCGAGGGTTAGGAGGAAAGGAAAAAAACCGGCGGAGGATGCGGGCGGTATCGAGGAGCACTGCCTTCAGCATTTTAGCCCGGAGCGGTCCGTCACGGAGTCTCAGTCGCCTCAGATGACCCGAGAGGCTGACTGGGATTAGCCCATTCGCAGAGACGACTACAGGAATAATTTCAGCCGGCAGACCACCCCACATGTCGGTCACCTAGTGAGCCAGGTCCAGATATTTTGTTCGCTTATCTGTTTCGGCTTTCACGAGGTTCTCGTCATACGGAATGGTAATGTCGACCAAAAATATCCTTGACTGTGCCCGATCCATCAGCACAATATCAGGCTTATTCGCAAGAATATTCCTGAATATCCGGGCCATCATCACAGAATATAAGAAGAATATTCTGTGATGATGGCCCGGTCCCAGTAGAGCCTGGTGTGATCATTTTCGAGCATGGCTTCCGGCAATTACTTTCAATACGGCAATTTCCGATACGGTATTTCAGAGCGAGCTCCTGGTGTAAAATTCTGGCTACTAGGTTGTGTCTGTGCAAGTACTCAGAGTTAGAAAGCGCCGAACAACCGAAGATGACATGCCTAAGTGACTCAACGGAATGGCGACAAGCTCGATAGATGTTGACAGTGCCATCCTTTAGGATGTATCTCCGATAGTTGTTGGTCTTAATAACCTGATCCTGTATTGCACAGACAAAATCCTCGGTTTCCCCGAAGAGGTCACCGAAACGTAGCAAGTTGAGGGAAGCAACTGTATCTAAGAAGGGCTCATGTAGAGCTCTGTAGTACCTCCCGTGGAGCTCCTTCTCCTTCCATATGGCCTCCCGGTCGGAAATGCTAAGCACTGCTGGGTCTCGTCATTGCTTGTTGGCTAAGGATAGAGGTGTAAGCCCTTTATCACTAGAAATGACGTCATTGTAGAATGGATCATCCGATCTCGTCAGGAAGTAAGGACAGAGGCTGCACACTTCGCGATTATGCATGGTGAGCTCGCTCAGAAAGCCACGCCCACCATGCTTTCGTGGCAAGTACAGCCTCATTACCGACGATCTCGGATGATGCATCCTATGGGACGTCATGGTGGTGCGGACTTTTCTATCCAGGGCGTTAAGTTCAGTCTGAGTCCATCTGAGTATAACAAAGGTATACATGAGGACAGGCATGACCCAGCCATTATATGCGTTATATGCTTTATTCACACCGGAAAAGTTAAGTGTTAAGTACTTTGATCAAGCGTGCATAAAACACGTCTCAAACTGACTGTTTCATACCAGCCTTATCGATACCGGTGTTCTGTGACATACCCAGGTATCGGTATGTTTCAGCCTTGAAAAGGGTTCTTAATTTGACGGGCATAGATAAGTCTATGCCCTCAGAGTTA